GGGGCGGGAGGGAGGAACCTCGGGTGCTAGGGGGGGCTCGCAGCTAGGCCTGCGGGGGGGAGGCGAGCGGGATGTTGCGTGGTTAAACCGAAAGAGCTCCACGCCGAAACGGAAGATGTCGGGAAAGGATGAACCGTGGGTCGGCCGCCCCCAGCCCGGCTTCCGCCGCCCCTGCGCACCCTGAGGTACCGCCGGCGTTTCCTGCCGCGCCGCTCGGGGCTGAGAAGCGCCCGCAGCGCTGGGCCGTCTTCGGCCTTGCGAGTGTGGCGAGAGACCGGGGGCTTCTTTTGCCGCCTGGTTTTGGGCGGGGCGCTCCGACGGTGTGAGTTTTGTAGCCTTAAGGTAGATGGGGGATATTGTGGAACGCAAATGTTAGAAGTCTTGTTCTGAAAAAGTGCTGCGTGAAATAGGGCAGCTGTAGTTACTAGGTGGATTGTAGTAGTTCGACAAAATAGCTATATTGTGGTTATTTTAAATAAAATAGCTGTTTCTCAGAGTACTCCCATCTCAACCTGTTCAGACCGTTTGCTACAAAAACTTCTTGAAGGCTGTGCATGTCGGGTAGAGGTGGTTTTGTGTTGCTTCTCAGTGCCTAGAATGCTCTTGCTCCTGTCTTCGTGTATCTTAGACTCGGTTGTCTGCTCCTGTTTTCAGTATTGGTGCAGAGAAATCGTGTAAACACAGGTAGGTGCAAAGAACCTGGAGCCAAAGCCAACAGGTTTACCCCTCTTCTATTAGCGGAGAACAGGCTTTAGAGTTAATGTCGTGCTTGTCATGCTTCAGTGGCTGGGTTAAGAGTGGTAATTTGAGCTTCTGTGGAATCCGATGGTGTAATTCTAGGTCTTACTAGCCTTTGAGGTCTGGCTGCTGCCAAACAGATGCAATCTTGTCTTCCTCTGGTTGCAAGTGTTTGTATGCCCTTGTGGTGGGAAACTGGACTGGGGAGCTAATGTGACTTTATAAAAAATTTTGTTTTGTTTTGTTTTTTCCAATGGGTTAGATTTAAATAGTTCCTCAGTCTGCAGAGAATCAAGCAGGGCATGGTAGGACCTCTACTTTCAGGATAGTGTGGATTAGGGCATTTTAAAGTGTTTACACAAAACAGTCTTTTGTCACTGTACTTCCAAAAGATCCTAATAACTTGACCTTATTTGTGAAGCGTGTCAGACCAAAATTCATGGCTTTGACGTGTGATCTCTGTATGTGCAGCTGGATTTAGTATTCTCTTTAAAAATATTTCATTGGCTAAACAAGATGTTCTGTAACTCTGTATTGCTACTATTTTCGGCTCTGAAATTAACTATTTGTGGAATTTTTTTTTAATCTGGCCAGGTCTTAATCACAAACCTAAGAGGGTTTTTGAAGAGTTTTAATTTTGTGCTTGCTTGAGACTTAAATTGCTACAAAAATACATCTTTTCTTTGAAAAGTTTTCATATGTAGTGTGTGTTGATATAATCATAGTTAGTAAAAAGCCCCTTTTTTCATACAAAGTTTGAGTAATGTGATTGCTTGCCAAGTCTTTCAAATACAAAGTAACGTAGCTGGATTCATTCCTTGTTTTTGTACACAGCTGGTAAGTTGTAATTTAGTAAAATGAAAATCAGAAGTTAGAACTGTTAACAGACATTTCTTCTCCAAAGTTGATTTTACTTTACATTGCAGAGATAAGTAGCAAAATGTTGATTGGCTGCTGACAGTAATTGCTCTAAAATCTGTGATACGCTTTATGTTTCCTTTGGAGGAAAAATGATCCGATTTACTTGTAACAGATTTTTTCAAATTTCTAATTAGTAATCTACCGATCCTGTTTTTTGTAGGAGAGCACTGTCTTCACTCTTACCCAAGCTTGCTGTGCATTTGCTTTAGTAGGTCCTCATCAGTATTTATTTTAGATGCTATAAAGCAACTTCTTGCTTCTTACATGGGTACCTTGAGGAAGATGGAGTGGAATATGGAATGTTTTAACTAGATCCTTTTCCCATATTTTTGGGGTTTTTGTAGCCCTTCAGATTAAGTGGTGACCACGTCTATGGGTTATGGGACTGAAAGGAACTTTTCTAGCTAGCATTGCTGCTAAGGAAAACTTATTCCGTAATTGAACTGCACATTTCTATTGTTGCTTAAATTTAAGATCAAATATGGCTTATCACCACAACTTTAATCTCAAGTGCTATTGATTGTTGTTGCCACAACAGTTGTTAGAAACACTTGATTTTTGGCTGTCACTCCAGTTTTGACCTACTTCTATATGAACTCTGATTCCCATTATTTGTTCTAAGTAATACAAATTGAAGACCACTGTTGCTTAGAATTTAATTTCTGTGTAGTTGATTCTATGTTCTTTTTTTTTTTTTTTTTTCCCCACACAGGTGTGTAAAAATGGCAAAGAGAATTGCAGAGAAGGAACTGACTGACAGGAACTGGGATCAGGAGGATGAAGCTGAAGAGGTAAGATACACATTAGACCCCCCCACCACCCCTGTAGGTAGTAGGGCAGATGTTTACATGTGCATTTACATCTCATGGGTGAAATCTACAGTAGACTTGGTTAAAAGTGTAGCAATTAAAGATAATCTTATATAAGCAATTTTTTTTTTTTATAAACCTTCCAATATATGCAGACCATATGGCAAAGCAGCTTTTAACAGTTGAAATGACATCAGCAGTTCAGGGGAAAGGAACTTTACATTTCTAAAGAGAACCCCAGACTTTTAAAAATGCATAATGCTTTTGAACTCTTGGGTATTTACTGAGTTTGCAAGAAAAGCGGTTTTGATTTCTTGAGATAAAATTTATGCCTCGTTTTTTTGTTTGTTTTTTTGTTTTGTTTTGTTTTTTAAAGGTCAGTAATAGTTTATTTCAGAAATAGGTTAATTTGGAGTGCTTAGCTAAATGTCCCTACACAGCCAGAAGGATTAAGCAAACAGTCAAATGATACATTTCATCTGATTGTAAAAAGAGATTTTCATATTTAGTGTTTCATACTTACTCATGTATTATCTCTAAACAAACTGTGCTAGCTTTTGTACTACTAAAGGTATTAAATGTTTAGGCCTATAAGATGTGAGAGAGAAAGCTGACAGATAACTTTTCCATAAATTTGTATATAAAACCCCCTTCTATTCCTCATTTATCACAGGGTAGTAAGTAGTCATTAGCTGCCTTTGCTAATACCTGAAGTACAGCAGACTGCAGGAGATTGACTTCTAGCATACATCTCAATATACCTTCTCCAAACTGAAGATTGTTTGTAACAAGAAAGACAGAGTTTTGATAGTATCAACTAATTGTCCAAGTAACTGGCAAGCTAATCACAGTACTATATTTTCTGTTTGGTGTGTTTTGGTGTTTGTTTTTTTGGGGGGGAGGAGGGGGTGTTGGTATTGGTTTTGGTTTTTTTTTTTACTTCCCTTATTTGTTAGGGAGAAGTGTTACAGTTGTGTTAAAACCTGATCTCTGCCATCTCTTCAGAATATGATGCCTTTATGCATTCTGAGAATTTCACTAATGATTCCGTAACTACTTCTTAAAGGTGGGAACGTTCTCAGTAGCTAGTGAAGAAGTCCTCAAGAACAGAGCTATTAAAAAAGCAAAGCGCCGAAATGTTGGATCAGAGGTAATGTGATCACTCAGCGTTAGTGTTGTAATTTGACTTGATTGCAAAATATGACATCTGTGCTCAGGTTTTTACTTACTTGGGCTTGTAATAGTACTGTATAAATCTGCTGTTTAGAAGGTATATGCAACTAGGCCGCTCATACATAGAAATTAGTTTTTGCTTACTGTTCCATAGCAAGAATAAGGCTAGAATGAAAAATGGGTAATACTAGTATTGATTGGTTGAAGAGAGATGTGTAGTTTTGAAGTATAAATGCAGAGTGTTTCAGACACAGTGTCTACTGCAGATGGGTGAAATAGCATTTGAACTGCTCCAGTTTCATTCTTTGCAGAGATGGAAGCCTGGAAATCGAAAGCTCCTAGTTACCCATACTGGAGGACTGGGGGATGTCTCAGGCAGATGCTAAATAAGTAAAAGCTAAATTATGAAGCTGATCTGAGATTGAAAAAGATGCCTTTTGTTAAGAATGCTGCTACTTTTTTTTTTCCCCCCTGTGAAGAGCTGTAGTGCCACCTACTCTTTGCAGTGACAAATTGAAAATTGAAAGGAAGTTGGCCTTTGTTACAGGTTTAGTCCCTGTGAAAGCATTAACCAGTCCAACCAAATTGTAGTCCTTTCAAAAATCCCTGACAGATGCTTTGTTGTGTATATCTTTCTATGAAACATTCTTTCAATGGGGCATGCGCCATGTTACAAACAGGACAGAAACTTTACCTATCCTTCAAATTGCTTTTGGATTGAATGGGACTAGACGCAGTTAGGGTCTAGATAGTTTTCTGGTTTGCTTTTGATTTTCCTTCTGCTGTCCAAGCAGCATGGATGAGGAGGCTGTCCTATCCCACTTTGGCGTATAGTAGTTTTAAGCACAAATGTGGGAGAGAATGTAGGATTGTACTGGCAAGAGGTGATGCAAGAAATAAACCACAGCTTGAATAGGAGGGATTCAGGGGCAAATGGAATGGGAAAAAAGAAAACTGGATGAGAAGGGGGATGAGGTCATTGTAATAATCAGGAGGCTGGGGGTCAGCTGTGAGAGATCAAAGCTGGAAGAAGAGCTAGGATAGGCTGGGCAAAGTCTAAAAAGTGGGAGAGATGGCAGGACAGCTGAGGTTGCGTAAGAAACCTGTGAAATAATTACAAAAAGGTAAACTTGAAATCTATTGATGTTCCTAAATGGAGCGAGCAGAACGCTGCAAAGAAAAAGACTGCAGTTTAACTTGAATGTCCAGAGAGAGAGGTAAGTAGGGCTGATCAAAGAGATACAGAATAAAAATAGCTACCTAGAAGCAATTCTCCTTTTCCTCTGATGGCTTTCCAGAGCTGTTGAAAGTCCACTTCCAGGAATAAGTGGTCGTTGCCTCAAAAGACATTATATGCAGTACCTAAAAGTGGCAGTGCCTATTTGTGTGTTAATCACACTCTCTCTCTCTTAAAAAACACAGAAGAAACTATACCATAAAATAATATGGCTGTAAAGATAGCGTTCAGAACTAGGTAATGAAAAGGCTGCAGAAAGCATACATATTATGTTATCAAGTACGGTCTATCGTTGCTTTTCCCATCAGTCACATGGGAATATTTTGGGTAATTCACTTAAACATTACATAGGTGACTACAAAGTATGCTGTTTTGATGAGTGGCTTGAAGTGCTGGACTCTAACTGCAGTTGTAAATGCTAAAAGTTGCTGAAAAGAAGCCTGCAATTATATATTGCTATGTAATTATTTAAAGAAAACAAAATGCTATGAATGTCTAAATAGGTAGTCAAACACATCCGCTGCTCTGAACAACTTTTAGGTATCCACTTCCTAGGTCTAGTTTATTTTCATACCAAACATCTGAGTCCTTTAAAAGTAGTAGCAGTATGTGTCATAAGGAAGCTATTAACTTTGTTTACATAGCTGACTTAGAATAATGCATGAAATGACACACTGAACCAGGGTAAAATAAATGGAATATTAAGTGGGGATAGGATTTTTGTGGAGGAAGTGTATGTAACTGGTTGTCTCTCTTTTTTTCTTTTTCCCCCCTCTCCTCAGTCTGAAAGCGGAGGAGCTTTTAAAGGGTTTAAAGGCTTTATATTGCCTTCTGGAAAAGGAGGAGGCTTCAGTGGATTTGGTAATGGTGCAGGAATAAAGCCTTTAGAAGGGCTGTCTAATGGAAGCAGTAGTGTCTCTAGCACTCCTTCTTTCAGCAGTTTAAAGACCACCTCCGAAACACAATCAGCATTTGGTAAGTTTTAAATAAGCATACATATTTATCAACAAATTCAGCCATAACATCTGTGGGGTAATTTTAATAGTGAAAAACCAAAATCAAACCACCCTGTAGTTTTGTTTTAAGTTTTTGAGACTTTATTCTTCTTTGTAAGTTTTCTTAAAAAGATTATAGGCTGCTGGAGATACAAGTTATCAGATGCATGCAGTTTTAAGAGGTGGAAACTATATTTGATCTAATACTGGAGGTAAAAGCTTTATAGGCATAAGTGGGAGTGGAAGATATTGGCATAAGTGGGAATGGAAGATATTGGCATAAGGCACTCTCTGTCCGAATAGTATAAAACAGCTGGTAACATTTTCCAGTTAAATAATCATCCCAATTATCTGAATTAATTAAAAAAAAGGTAATTGAAAATGTGCATTTAGTAGGACTGCAGTTTTCTTTGTGTGGGGTTTTTTGTTTTTTTTTTTTCTTTTTTGAGGTCTTGTTTCTTTATTTTTTGCAGTTCTTTGTAAATATATGCTGCATAGCTAAAGTCTTAACCTTTTTTCCCTGTACATCTTCTGTTACAAACAGTCTTACTAGAATTTTATCTCTTACATTTATACCAACATTTTAAGACACGTGAAATATTTTGGCAAATCTAACTCTAGTCTCCTGCTTTGGTAGTCTCTGAAGAATATTAGTTCTGTCCCTTTGTGTTGGAGATGGAGAAATGTTAACCATGCCACAGTGTTTAGAGTCAGCATGCCACAGAATAGAAATGATGGAGTTTGGAGTTTAGAATAACTTAGATTTCAGTGAGCTTAACTAAATTAGGAGAAACCTAAATATTTAGTGAGGATTTTCTTAATTTGCTTATTATGGTTTTATAGGGAAACCACTCAAAAATGTGCTAGTGCGTTTGGAGTTTTTTAAAGCACTAGTAGCAAGAGATAACTGAATATTTTATTTTAATAACGGTTACAGCATCATAAAGCTTGAGCTGAGATTTTGAACGTTTGGGTGAAACACAAAACATTTTTAAAAAATGTTACTCTAAGATTTCTTTGGATTTCTTTTTTTTTTATACAACTGTGTGCTCCATCTACTTTGTCTATCCCTGGACTAACTAACTTGTCTAAACTTAGAGAGCTTAGGTCTGTTTCCCAGCATTGTCTGTTTACTTGTACTGCAGTATCTGGTACATGGTGTTGTGATAAAAGGCGAGTTACCTATCTGAGCAAGAATGAGTGATTTGATAAAGAAACAGCAAGAACATTCAGTTTAGGTTTTTATGAGAACTGTGCTTTCTGGAAAAAAAAGAGTTCTAAACCATGTTTTCCTTCTAATAGGATCCACACTGTCAAATGGTCCTACTACTACTGCATTTACTGAGAAAAAGGCTGCAAGCCCAAAAGCTAATGGTGGCAGTCAACCGTCCTCATCTGGCTACGCTCAGAGTAAAGTTTGTAGTTCTAGTGTTTACCACAAACAGTTAGCAGCTTTAAACTGTTCTGTGCGTGACTGGATAGTTAAGCATGTAAACACAAACCCGCTATGTGACCTGACACCCATCTTTAGAGACTATGAGAAGTACTTAGCAAATATCGAACAGCAACATGGAAGCAGTAGTGATAGCGGCTCTGAAAACGAAAGCAACAAGACACCTGGCTCTCAGTCTGTCTCTACATTTGGGAATTCAAAGCTACAGCAAGGATCAACTTTTTTGTTTAACAACAACAAGACTGAGGATACCTCGGACAAAAAACCTGAAGCTGCATCTGAAAAAAAAGACGCATCGTTAGGAGCTACATCAACAGTCTCATTTAATTTTGGCAAAAGCGTTGACAGTTCTGTTTTGGGTTCCCTTGGTTCAGGAACGCTTAGTGGATTCTCATTTTCTCCTGGGAATTCAGGTTTGTTTGGAAAAGACGCAAACCAGGCTAAGGCTGTCACTGCAGTATCCACCAATGTATTGGAAGCTCAGACAGAAAGTGGCAATAGCGATGATAAAGGTAAATGCTATTTAAAAAGGTAGATTCTATTTAAAATGATGATTTTAATGGTAAGCTGTGAATGTATGTGACTTAAGAATACTGCAAAGATTAAGTAATACTAAATTGAACTCAATCATAACTGTCCTTGAATTTGGAAGTGCAAAACTGTACCACTAATCCGGGAATACCTCAGTCTTATATAATGCTTAAGTAGAACTAAAAGCATATGCTTATCAAAACCTACGTATTTGTCAGATTTATACTTTCTGTAGTAGAATATAATTCTTTAGCTGAACGCAAGACTTGAAACGATGAAATGAAGTTTAAAGCAACTGGTATGTTCATCTTTGAACATTTCAATCCTGCTGCTTTTCCCAGTAGGTTTATCAAGAGATCCCTCAGTAAAATGCGGGAGAAAAGGGAACAATTTCATACATCTTTCTTACAAGACTGTAAGGCCAATAAAGTTGCATACTACCTGACAGTTTTACTCTGCTATTTAGCTAACCTGGGTACAGTAAGCTGATAGAAATCCTAGCAGTTGAGGGACTGGAAAGGCACAATCCTGCCACAGTCTCTTGGCTGTCATTCCTGAAACCGATTACCCTTCCCCCAAATTAAACTTGGCTGTTGGAAGTATTTATTATGCTTTACTTGGACCCATTTGTGGGGACTACTCTTTGGCACGTTATAACTGTTTTCCCCCCGACAGGAGGTTTTGACTTAAGTTTGACTTGCTAAAGTTTTGCTTTTTTTTGTTCTGATTGTTTGGTGTTTCCATCCCATTTAATTGAAGTTGCTTGAGGGGTGTGGCTGAATGAAAAGAAAATAAGACTTCTTCAGAGCCCACATTGATTGCTAAAATACATTTAAATCATTGACAGGCTACACACGCGTATGTCAAATATAGCATGCATAAACTAGTTCTAATACAATGCCAAAATAGCTTCCAGATTATGTGCTCACAACACTAATGTATTAAAACTTTATTTAAAGGAGGAGAAGAGGAGGAAGAAGAGCCACCAAAAGTCATTGTTAATGAAGTAAAAGAGGATGATGCTTTCTACTCAAAGAAGTAAGTGACTTGGAATTCCAACTTTGAGAGTAAAATTCACACCTACATGCTGCTATTCTTCATCACTGCAGTGCATAATTAATGACATCATGTTCTTGACTTCTTAGTTAATAAAGCTTGTTAGGAAGTCATGTAGACTATGAAGTTACACTTGTAAAAAAGTTAATTACAGGCAAAAGCGTGTAAGATCTTACTAAAATTCTTGGGTATCTTCGACACAGCACCGATAGCTAGTTTGTGTTCTACTTGTGATCAGTTTTTTACAAATGAAGACGTTTCTGCCTTCATCAGGTTTTGTAAGTTTAAATTGCAGGGCTTGTACCACAGAAGTAGCATACTGTACTTCTGAAAACTCAGTCAGGTGCTCAGCTGTTTGCATAGCCTAAAATAAGACTCATGGAAAATGCCGATTGTTGTATGAAGGAGTGAACAAGTTGTACTTCTGTGTTCAAAGTGAGGCTACCTCTACTAGAAGCAGTTTTTCAAAGCACGCTCAGTAGTCCAAGCCATCGCATGTCTGCTGAACACTTAGCACAGAATTTGTCCTTCTACAAAAAGTCATTTGCTTTATCTGAAAGAAGGTACGTGCTAATTTATGAAGAATGGCATTAGGTTTATTAGAGCTTCACTTAAAAAAAAGTTTTTAAATTTTACACAGAATTCCTATTATAACTTCAGAATGATACAGCAAGTACTTAACGGTTTTGTAATTAGTGTTTTTAAACAGTAGCTTACAGTTGTTATTCCTTATAGACCCTGAGTACAGGTTGTTGTGCGTTTTACTTTTCCCTGAAAGTAGTGTGTTTGTCATTTCAATACTGAAAGAAATAATTAACTTTGCTTTTTGAACTGAAAGTGCTGTCTGTCAGCACACGAAACGAGGTCAAGAAGAATAAGGATTTATGCTACTCACAGCATGTTATTGTTAAACTATTGGCTTACTGTGAGTCAGATGCATACAGATACATATATCTGTGTATGTGTATTTGGGAGAGATCTTTGTATTTAATCTCTACATAACTGCACAAACAAGTTCGGTTTGTTTTGGTTTTTTTTTTTTTGCACAGGTGCAAACTATTCTACAAAAAGGACAATGAATTTAAAGAAAAAGGTGTAGGAACATTACACTTAAAACCAGCAGGAAATGAAAAAACTCAACTCCTAGTTCGAGCGGATACCAATTTAGGTAAGTAAATTTCTTCTAGTAGCAAGTCTTGATGTGAAATTCCCTGCTAAGCATTAGGATTTTTTTTTTGTTACACAAAGTGAAAACCTTTCTACTCTTTCTTGAATAATTTCAAGTATTGACCAAGCAATTGGATGCCTCTAATGAGTATTACAAAACAGTGCAGTGCAAGGAAGTAAAAGGTTACGGTGTATGCCTGGGTATCCCCCTCTTGCCCCCCTTTTTAATAGCTCTTCTCCATCCCTAACTTGTGAAGTGGCTTTGAAGCGTGGCTTAAGATCTAGAATGAAGTGTATGTGTACTGGGTGCGATGAATGAAGAACAACAAATTCTGTGCTAAGATGCAGGCCAACTGCTGTTTGCAGTTCGTCCTGAATATGTAAATAGTTGGCGATGTGGGCAGACATCCAATGGATTTGGGGGTAGAGGGGAGCATTATATAGACCAGACATGCAGCATTTTGCTATATGCATTGTTCTTCAATGCATGCTGCAGTCCAACTGTTGAACTGTGTTTTAGGTAACTTCAGTTGGATCACAAATGATAGGTTGACGACGGAATTGGAATAACCTGTAGTGTGATAGTTCCTCAGAGTATCTTTTGAGATGAACGTCAACACATACAGCTAATGAAAGAGAAAAAAAAAAAACAGTGGTTTCTTTCCTTTTCGAAGTTAGGGGAGATTGGATGTATTAAAGTGTCATGTTCTGGCCAAAGAGTGTTTACACACTCAAAGTGTGCAATTCAATGTTTTGATATTCATTGTTGAGAAACGTTGCTACGCTTCAGTACCTGATTTCAACAAACTTGCCTGTGAGGTTCACATGCACTTGACAAATTCCATAAAATGGAGTATGCTTATAGAATACCCAAGGACTAAAGCCATGCTGCGCTGTAGGCCGTTGGTAAATCTCCCCTCACTTTCAGTTTATAGCAAGTCTATACGAAGCCTCTGCAGGCCCATTTGGGGCCGTTTTCAAATACCTGATGAGATTGGGAGTCCTGTGTTAGTCACCTCTAAATCATCAACTTCTTTCAGTGGAGACCAGGTTTGCCAGATAAAAGGCAGTTCTTAGCAATAAAAGAAGGCATAAATAAAATAAATGAATGAATAAATAAATAAATAAAGGCAGACATTGGGCAGGGTTGTCAGTGCTTTCGGTGTCTCCTTGGGGATTTGAATGTGTTGAACAGAGCTGATGAAAACTTGGTTTCTCCCAAGTTACCTACTCTTTAACACAAGTCTTGATTTTCACTCAGCTGATCCCAATTTTCATGGTGTTGATTTACATTCCCTCTACCTTCATCTGAGGTGATGTGTTAGGAGGAAACCTTTCCTTTTTCTTCAGCTCGTACGCTAAGACATTTCAGCTCAGTGTTTGCAAGCATTGGTTTCTAGAAGCTGCTGCAGTCATAGTGATGCACACTTTCCTTTTTGCTATCTTCACACAGTGCTATAACCCTTTCCTAAAATCTCACTGTGTTGAAAAACTGAACTGGAAAGGAGGGCGAAGACTGACTTTTCCCTAAATACTACTACCGTGTTCTGAACTATTTACCAGGTTTACAAAATGTGTGCATCTTCTGTGGAAGCAGATTGGAGTTTGTTTGCAACCATTTTAATAGACCACTAATACGGAAGCTGTCAAGCTCGCTGTGTAATTTAACAAGTTGACATAGAGCTGTTGTTAGTAACCCAGTGGTAGACCACATCAGCTGCGTTGTACAATTTGAGGATAGAAAATACTTACTTATTTTACTCTAGTTTATCCAATTTTAGACTAACATGTCTGTCTGTGTGTTAAAGCTAACTTTTTGCTTCTGCTTCTGAACTGTGCTTGATGGTCAGAATGAGTAACTTGCATAAGCACAAACCTAAGCACTGGGACTCGAGTCCTCATTTGCTGCTTCTCCCTGTCCCCTTCCCTTTCTCCTGTGTCCCCCTACTATGATTTGATATTCTTCAGACTCCTCCCTTTAAAAAAGGAGGATGCACTATTTTCAGAGATCCCTCATTCCTAATGAGGAAGGAAATCTGGGAGAGCAGTGGCCACGAGCAGATGCTTAGGGAAGAATAAGACCAGTATATATGACATTTGCGAATTGCCTTCCTTCCAAACACAAACTTAAATCCCTATTTAGAAAGTATACTAACATCTGTGTTGCAGTAAAAGGAGAAAAATGGCTAACTGTTACTTTTTTCCTCCTCATATGCAGGAAACATACTGTTGAATGTTCTAATTCCACCTAAGATGCCATGTACAAGAACTGGAAAAAACAATGTTCTTATAGTTTGTGTTCCTAATCCACCGATTGATGAGAAGAATCCAACTGTTCCTGTCACTATGTTAATAAGGGTGAAAACAAGTGAGGATGCAGATGAGTTGCACAAAATCTTGCTGGAGAAAAAGGAGGCTTAAATAAGTTGCAGTCCAGTGATTTGAGGAATTATTGCCAAACTGCTGCTGCTCTTTTTTTCTTCCATAACTTCACTTGAACACTTAACTCTTTACTCTGATATTAAGAACTGTTATAGGAATTCTGGAAAAATTCTGTGAGGAAAAGCTAAACTAGCTAATAAAAGCTTTAATAGAACACAAGTGTTGGACTGTGCTCCCTCATTTTTCAATATCTAAATGCAGGACCTCTTCTGGATAAAAGCACATTGATTTAAATCAAAGCATATGTTTTTAACAGCAGTTGATTTGACCGAAGGGACTGAAATCAGAGTACAAAAATATGGTACCAGAGCTTCCTGACAGACTGCGGCGCAATGCAACAACCTCTTGTTTTGAGAAGGGAGGATGTTGAAGTTTAACTGTTGAAACAGTTTCTAGGCTCTGGATTTTTAATTTTAATTGGTCTGTCATATTCTGGCGAGACTTGTTTTTCAAACTGTGGGTGACAACAGTGCACCCTGTGTTGTACTGTGTTCTGACTCTTACAGACTCGTGTGTGCTTTTGGGACATCTCCAGCTATTTAAAAGAAAACTTGCTTGCGTAGTCTTGTTGACAGTAGTGTTTCTTAGAGAAGAACTGTTGGTTCTGTTCTTACTGTAGCAACAAGCTAATGATGTGCAATAGTACAAGCAGACAACTGGAAGACTGTTGATCTTGGACCACACCCACAGCCGGCATTCGCTGACTTCTGACAAGTCGGAGGCGAAGGGTCGCACTTCCATTACGGTCCCCCCAGGTATTCCTCCCTCCTCCCCTGGGCTCAAACCGACACCCACCAGAGGCAGAGTTGTAAATGTTGTACTTGTCTTGCTACTGGTACTTTTCTGAAGGTATCTCTTTTCACAAAGCAAAATTCAGGATTTTTATAGATCTTTATATTGCCTCTGGCCATTACCAAGAATACATGCATAAATGTGAGTGTGTGTCTGTAATTATTTTTCCTGTGTGCTAAAACTGCAGTGCTTTACTGCGTTACGTTAAGTAAAGCAGTAGTTGGCAGCTTTAGGACAAGCTTTTTGTTGCAGAAAGAGGGAGCGCTGGGTTAATCTATAACTTAGTTTTCAGCTCTTAGAATTAACCACGTGGCAATAACTTGTGGATCAGACCATCGCACTGTTCTCAGTTTCCACCTCGACTTTATCAGACCATGTTCAGTTATTTAATCCTTTTTTTCAAATCTTGTTTGCTGGAAACTCCTTCCCTAACACTCGTTTTTCTGCTTCACTTCCAGCTCTGGAAACTATCCAAGAGCTGGATGTTCGTATTAAACTCGAACTGCTCTCTGATCTGTCCCACTGACCACCTCTGGGGAGATGGAAGAAACATGCCAACTTGCCCCTGGCTAATGCGGCACAGAGGAAAAATAGAATCAAAATCCCTTTCTTTAAAAGAAACAAGTGTGATGCAATTCTCACAGGGGACCTGGAAATCCACCATAGTGGCATCCTATGGGTGGGGAAGAAGTAGTAGCACCATCTGATGAGATGCAGCACATCTTAGTGGCTCCCCACTGCTCTCGGGGAGGGGGGGAACAACAGCTGCCTTTAGTCCTCATTAACTGCACAATTCAGGTTATGGCCTTTTTTTTCCTCCTCTTAACTAGGAGGAGGAAAAACTTTATAGGATCTATAGCCCTCTTGACCAAAGTTCAAAAAACAAAGGCCTTTGCTCGCATTTCAGCTACGCTGAGGTCACAGGAATTGCATTTTTAACACTCAAGTGTAAAGAAAGCGTAGATACAATATCAGATATTATTTGAAATATAAACTGGTGCCTTTTTTTTGCATCTGGCTCAGTACTTACTTTTAATGGGTAAGTGACAAATAAAAACAATGTGCTTTTTTTTTTTAAAAAAGGAGTCTTGCTGATGCCTAAATGGGAGGCCAAAAGCTGTAGGCTTGCATGTTAATTGTGTATGAACGCAAAGCAGAGGATTGCCTAAAAGTCTATGACAGGCTCAGGTTTAGCGCCCAAGGGCTCAGTTAACTTTGCATTTGTCATTTGACTGTTGTGTTTTAAGACACTTCTCCATGCAGAAAGGTTTATAGGCTGGAGTGCTGGACACGGGGTACGTGGATTTGTTCCGCATCCCGCTCTAAGAGCAACCCTGTAGCGACTCTGTCAGTGGTCTGGGGTCTGTGCTTGTTCTACTTCTGAAAGCTGGTGGATGGGTAACTCCTCTTTCATCCATTGAAATGTGGACCAATCAAATGAGCAAGAGATGAACTTAACTTCCTTTCTGTCCTCAGGATTAGCCTCCAAAGTGAAGCAGCCTTGGGGTTTTGCACTCCCCTGTTTGGCCCAATTCTAGAGCTGGCAAACCAAGTAACGGCTGCAGTGCAGCTCTGTCACGCTTTCAAGGGTGGGATGCTCTGAGGGCGAGCACAGAGTGCAAGGAAAAATAAGTAGACTAATAAAAAATTGTGTTGGAAGAATTAAACCTTACAATATCCCTGGTAGCAAGTAGTAGCTTCTAGTAGCTGTGGGAAAATTACTTGAGATGAGACACCTTAATTCTTTAGCAATGTACATATTTATTGGTAAAGCTAGGGGAAGGTATATGTGTTAATTAGAATGTCAAATACATGCCTAAACATACGATTTTAAGCATTTTACACAGGAAAAGTTGCCACTGAAAAGAACAGGGAAAAATTTTACTGCAAATTCGAGATTTCAATAAACATCATCCATAGTGACCCTGCAATTGTCTGGACTATGAGGCAGGAAAAGCAAGTCATATGCTTTTCACTTGGCCTTCAGTTATAAAGCACAACCCTTCTCCAGTACTGTGAGAAAAGCAAATTTTTGATGGCGCTTCAGTTTCTAGTTAAGAAATACTGAAATGCATAAATACTGTACAAGGCCAGAGATTATATTACATGGAAATAAAGGCCTAAAACGAGGTAAAAGCAGAAGTGAGTGGAGAGCATCAAAATCAATACACAAATGCCTTCGTAGCAAAAGTGGCACATGCTATAGAAGGAATGAATTCCAATCAGAATTCCAATGCCATGTGGCATTCCTAAAAAAAGGTAGATACTGCATATATTTGACAGGTGACTCTCAGATACCTGATGTTAAAGATGCAAATTTCCTGCACTGTTTCAGCTGTACATAGGTGTTGGGAGTGTCTTCTGGATCGTGCATTCTTCTTTCTGCTGTAATTCTGAAGTTTCAGCTGCTTAAAGATCTTTCCCTCTCACATCCCCAAAATAGAAAATCAAGGTCTCTGCTTCTTTTAATTATCGGAATCACCTGTAAAGGAGATTATTACCCTTGGCTTGAATTTTATTTTAAAATATTAAATTGCTATATGCAGGGGTTTTTTGTAAATGTACTTAAAATTACCTATTTGGGAGCACAACAGCGTGTTCCTCTAATCCCTTCTGGTTGATGGATGTGGAAGTTTAATTTAATTTTACAGTTCAAAAGCACACGTTTGTAGAACATACATAAACCAGTTAGGAGGTACGCTTTACAATTAAGAACTTCAGCTCCCTTTGCAGCACTGTAACATTTAAAATGTCCTTAAAGACTTACTTTCTGATGCCTTAACTTATTTGCATTTGCTAAAATTTTGTAGCTGGTGCCTGTGTGCAGAAATTAACGGACATTACACAATTTAAAGTGGCATGAGCTAGTATAAATCCAATGAAAATGCTGAATGTGATGATTTGTTAATAGATTTCAAACTGCTCTGAATTTTTCAGTGGATACCTAAGTTTCACATAACTTGTCATGTAACAATGTTTTCATTAGTTTTAATACGTTGAGGAAGTGTACAGAAATCCATGGAAAATGTGAATAAATGAATGGGAGCTAAGCATCTTGTGTGTATCACTTTCACCTTGAGGGTATAACACTTGTATTAATAAAATGAATTTTACAGTCAGTTGCTTGCAGGTGAAATCCTGCCTAGAAACTCCTGCATGGGGCCTTACTGCTGCTGAAAGGAGCAACGTCCTACTCTGCCCCTTCCTCCAGCCAGCTTTGAAACCTGTCACGTCGCTCAGCCCCAGTTCAGCAAAAATGCTTTCTTCTTGCAAGGGCAGCGAGCTGAATCCGCTCAGAGGGAGGAGCTGGGGCTGCCTCTTTCTAGGAAGAGAAAAGCTGGTTCTTACATGCTCAGAGGGTGACTGTAGAGATCGACCTCTCAAAATCCCTCCCCCGAAAGATTTGAGAGTAAAAGTAATCTCTCTTTGCCTGATGACATACGTAGAACGTAGTTTAGATCTAGCCTAAAAGCACTGTCCTCAAGCCAGGCCACAAAGTGATTCTTCTTCTCTTTGTTGGTTTGTGAGAGTTTGGCAAATGGGGTGGGGGGGAGGAATCAAGACAGACTTGTCATGACCAGCATAGAGCATCTTTCCAACGCACCATGAATTGCCGAGACCATGAGGGCGCCTGTCACCCAACTGCACGTTCTGCTGTTGGCCACTGTCGTGCTGCGTAGCCCTACCTTGTTTGTAGTTCTGGAGCCATCCACTTTATGCCCACAAATGGGAGCTACTTCTTGCATGAGGATGCAGTTAATGGCTAGCAAAAATTATCTCAACGTCCCCCCATCATCACCCCCACAACTACAGTGACTGAGAAGAACCAAGAGCCTACGTTCCATTTTTAAGGATGCAGTTGCTATCAGTAGAGTACCACATACCTTCCTAAATTGCCCAGTACTTAAAAAAAAAAAAAAAAAAAAAGAAACAAACCCCACAAAACCACAACTTTATTTGCTTATGATGTTGGCATTAGTCCACATTTTGGACATCTCTCACTTCCTTCTACTTAAAAAGCGAGCCAGCGCTGCCTACACAGTCTCCCTAGCTTGACAGCCATAAAGCAAAGAAAGCGAAGTGACCGTTCTCAAGAGCAGAAACGAGTTTATTATTCATTTCAGACTGGAGCAATCTAGAACATCTAATGCTTAATGCTGTTAATCCCCAAAGATTCTGCCACTTGTGCATCAGGAAGGGGCAAAAGTAACAGTGCAGAAGACATCAAGTCCTGAACATCCAGACTAAGAAAATGCAACGCTGCAAGAACAGCCTGCGATTCATCAAGATCGGCCGCTTTCCTAATCCAGTGGGAAAATGCCCCTCACAGCCGGCTAGTTACACCGACCAGGTCATACTGAAGTCAGAACTGATTGATCTGAAAAGTACGTCAAGTATAAGCTAAAGGCTACGTACATGTCATTGGCTAGAAAAATACTGAAGATGACAAGTAAACTTTAACCATGATCCAAACGATGCATCGACAGGCAGGTTACCTGCTGTCATCAATCTCCTGCTAAAGACAAAACTGAAAGCTGAAGATCAACAGCCAGCCAAGTAATTTGGAGTAACATAGCCTTACATATGACATGGCATTTGAAGCCATGAATGAGTTCAGACCCAAAGTTTGGTAAACAGCTTGCTTAGGTAAAATACTTGCTTCATAGAAAGGCTGCAGGACAGACAGACAACTGAAGTTCAGGCGGAGAGGACCAACAAACTTCTTGAGATATTCAGTAGATGATGACAAACCCCTGCACTACTGCACCACGTGACTGCAAGCACCCATCACTGACTGACGTGTGGCAAATACAGGAGGAGCAGCACACGAGTCAAAGGCTACATACGGTGAGTAAAGAGGTAGAAAAACAACATTCATCGTTTGAAGTAGTCATTGCTATACTTACCCAAGTTGCTGTTAGGGTAGTGTACTGCTCATTTTTTTAAGGCATCATACTCACTTAGAAATTCTTACTTGTGTCTGAGCATCCTGAATAAGTAGTATAATAAAAATAAATATTCATAATCATCAGTTTAGTGGGTGTTACGATTGGGAACATCATAACCCTTACCGAGAGGCAGCGCAGAGATGGACCATCTCTGGAAGTCTGCAGAGGCTTCAAAGATACAAAATAGAATCTGCCCGCTCAGGCAGTACCATTGAGTAAAAAGTCCTGACTTTGGTTTACTACCTTATATCATAGGTGATATAATACAGTACAAAAATCTTATGGCTAAATTATGGTCAGTGCTAGTTTTGGGGCCCTGCCTGAACTGGTTGGGCATGCAGGGAATTCTTCCTACCTGCAAATGGTAATTCTGTTGACTGCGATTCCAGGGAAAACTTGCAGATGGTTTCTCCATTGTAAAACACAAATTCCTACCACTGAAGAGAAAACGGTAGATCATATACCAAATGTAATTACTTTGGCATTTGATGGAATAAGTTTTTCCTTACCTTTACAATGAAGCCAGAAACAACTGCTGTGAACAATCGCCTATGATGATCTTCTCCTTGTGTGCTGGGCAGGTTAACCAGGGAGGTACTTACTAGGAAACGCACCATTCAGAATTCTTGCCGAGAAGGAAACTTGAGTAACAGCTCTTCTTGCTCCTTGATGCTACATCTATCACTCTCATTTTCAAAGCTAAACCTAGTCTGACACTTGCAGCGATGAGCAGGGATGGATGAGTGGGTTCTGCCAAACTTCTTGTCCTTCAGGAGCAAAGGAATGCCTCTAGACTTGGTGCAGGCTCAGGGCATTCTCTATTTCTAAGTGACACAGCATTTTGATGAACACCGTGGTTGCATCTGAATAAAAGCTTGAGTAAGAGACTTTGAAGAGCCTGTAGACTAGTAAACTGCTTTTGCTGGGTTTCCCCAGCCATATTGCTCCAGCAGGAGAAGCAGAACCATAAACATAAACACCCTTTTATGTTGGGGAGAGGTGGGAGGCGGAAGAGCATGGGTTGAGTAATCGCATACTGTGAAATACTAAGTTGTGAGTCACCAGAATCAACTGAATGTTGGCATGAACCAGTAAGAGGGAAAACGTTAAAGCAGCTGGAACTTAACGCTTCGAGACAAGGCTTTTTTTAAAGGTAGGTGATCTCCACCGATCTGTGCAGGGTGACTTGGTCCTTTTGAAAATTATCTCCCAGCTCCACTCATTTCAATAGGGTTTTAAAACGCTTTATTCCCATTTTCATTTAAACAATTTCTTTGAACTGAATTCAGAACCACGCGAGTTAGCTACTTGCATACTTAATCATTCACAAATTTACGTTATTGCCTGAAGTTCAGCACCTTCAGCTCCACAGGCAGCGGCCACCCCAGTCTGCTTTCCTTAATAGGATGCCTCCTCACCCTCTCCCACCCCTCATCTGTCCCATGTTCCCACAAGGATGTTTTGCCAAAAGATCATTCTTTTTGTGTAGGTGCCATAGGGTATACATTGCATGCAGGTACAGTGACAGCTATGTGGTTTGGCCAATTTTATCTTCTGCAGTGGAAGTGCAGTAGAGGGAAGAAGTCCACGCTCCTCTCGCAGAAGTAAATCCAGTTTGCACACACAAACACCTGTCTAAAGAAGAAAATGGATCATCTGCCTTGGTTTTCACACTGCCATCTCAATCAACATTAATCCTGCTAGGAAAAGCCAACTTGCTTGACTTGGGGAAGAGTTTTCTGGCTTAACCAGTCATAAATGACTTATTTACCATGATGAGATCATTAGATCCCCTCCTTACCCCTGTGAGGAACCAAGCCGGGGACAGAACTTGAATTAACTCCTATTCTCCTGGATGTATTTTAATAAGTTTCCTTTACTGAGTAGGATCTGCCACTCCCAGATTCTCATCTACACTGTTAATGGAAAAATCAGACCCACAGGCTTCCTGCATTTTACTCCTTTGCTTTCTGCAAAGTTTGCATTACAAGTTTCAGGATCACTATTTCTGACAGGAGCACACAAATAACTTTGCCAGCAAAGATGCGTGTTTTCTCTTCAATCTCCAAAGTGTGATTTTACTTTGTAAAATCAGACCTTGATGATAAACTTGCCTGCAAAGCAGCATTACGGTATTTCTTGGGAGCATCTCTCCAGATGACGACAGGCAAGACACAAAACACTCCAGGACAAACAGACATGAGTTAACTTGGCTTCCCAAAGCAGGGATTCTATTAAACAAGATATACTGCCACACCGTTAAAATAATATTTTTCTTTTAGCATATTCATGACATTAATTCATTAAAAGTCGTGAAAGCTTTGCAAAGATGTATGTGGCAGTCTTCTGTCTCACCAGCATTTGGATTAAAAACCAAAACTAAACCAAGCACACCTTTTCCTGTCACTAACTCGTGTTGAAAGACTAACTACACAGGTGAGGTTTATGACCATGATTTGTAAGCTTCTGCAGCTCTTTGCCCTTTGTACTGCTTTAAATAACACATTCTCCACCATGGCTGCTTTCAAAAGCTTTCAATTTAAAGCATTCAAGGAAAACCACACTGTTTCTAAGCTATATTTTAGTATTTCCCAACCAGTTAAGACTCCTGTCCAGTTGCGTGCATGCGCACAGAACACCACTGCCAACAATTTGCTCAAATATCCATATAAAGAACTAAACCACTCTGTTCTCCTTCCTAAGCTCTGTTTTTTTTTTTTTAATTTTGCCTAACATACCACACATCTCCAAGCTAAGATGCATGGTTTAGCAGAGATGATGTCACTACACATGGGTTCGTAAAACAGTCCTGGCCTGGGATTCTTTGAAAAGGAATCATCAGCAAGTCACTTCCCATCTACAGTTGGTATCATTTGTTTGACGAGTGTTTCATTTTAACTAATTTAGATAGAAAAATCCCCTGACGAAGCCTACTGTGAAATGCTAGTCACACAAATCAAGTGGAGAGGGAGGATGCAGTGCCTTGCAGGTCTTTAAACCAAAACCAATTCCATGTTGGTATGCTCAATTTAAGGCAGTGTAAGTAGTTAAGAGCTTAAAGGGCAATCTCATTTTTACAGCATTGCACAAACTCATACTGAAGTTTTTCCCAAATTTATCAGGAAGAAATCATTACAACCACCATTCTCTTCAATATTATA